AGCAAGAACACTATGATAGAATGAAAATAACTGAATAATAAATACTCTGTCAGAGTAAACGCTCATGTGGAGCGAAACTGTTCTGGTATAGTTAAATAATTAATTCACTGTTTTTTTTTTCAGAAGAGAAATTGTAAAATTTGGCATAACTACTTAAGCCATTCTAGTTTCAAGATGAAATAAGAAAGTTTATACGCTTTAAATTTGGAGAACCAAGAGTTTCTTCCAACAAATTAGAATATCAATCGATATATCAATAGGATAGCTACATGTATGATTCTCGTTAACTTATAACCATAAGTTTGCAGAAACTTAATTATGGAGTTAATTTGGCAACTTGTTGATTTTCATGTTATGCTCTTACGAGAATTTTGATTTAACTGTTGTGGTGAGTATATGACTCAATACCAGAATGATAGAAGTTGAACATTGAGTACCTATAAGAGCAACAATGAAGCGGTCCAGTAGAATCGTTTATTGTACGTGTTCAATTAAAGTAATTAACTCATGTATAATTGAGAAAGTGTTGAAATATAAAAGACACCAATTATATGTATAAGACCAAACATGTCATTATAGATGTTCTGCCCAATTGTTTTTTTGGTCAGAAACCATACATATCCATCTTTAAATATTAGATATGCAGTTTATATATTATAATTATAACACCATAATGCACATAATGGTGGAGCCTCCAGAAAAGGTCATAAATATATGTTGAATATTGAATCTCCAATGTTTGAGATTATTGATATTGGATTAACTCCTCGATAGACTGATCGTATTAGTTTGACGAGTTAGTTACTCTCAAAAAGGAGATTATTAATTGCTCGGTTGGTTAATCATCATTTTAGCGAGTTAGTCATCCGAACATCGGAGGAAGGGGGGAGAAGTTAAAACAATCTATTTATAAATCAAATGGACAATATAATTATCTCATGACGATTCTCGATAATATGAACTTTAAGTTCAAGAGATAATTTTTAAAACCAGATGTTTAACTGACCAAAATATGTGACTGAGTTACATGCGAAAGGCTGTCAAGTTCCAAATCTTGAATAATCTTCCAGTAGGACCATCTAACACAATTATTGAATGTCCATTTGATGAGTGGTAGAACGATCGGTTTCAATGATGAAAATCTTCGTGAATGACAAGGTTTAAATTTATAGAGATGGCAAATACGAGTGATTCTAATTCATAAGAATTTTGAGCTGGAATAATTTCCCACTACGGTGAATTAACTTCCAGAAGAAGTATATAAATTTTTGGGAAACTTAATGATTGTGAGATCTCATTAGCAAAGAACATGTAACTGATCATTAATAACTGTCGACATGAAGTTTGCATATACTGCAGTAGTTAGTTAAATGAATGAGATCATGAAAGTCTATTGTGAGTACGGACATTAAACTTATTGGCCACAATAAAGAAAAGACGTGATAGGCACACCTGAAGATGTGTAAGTTGAATTAAAACTCTTTGAAAGACTAGAAGTGATACACCGGCTAAATATTGTTGGGTGATTGTGCAACATGTTAATGAGCAACCAACTTATTGCCCAAGTTTTTTCAAAATCTGGATGTTAATCATGAGAAGATATATTCTCTTGTGGTGGATGGAAATAAAATTCTTCCAATATTTACTGTATCTGGCAGTAAATGAAGATATGAAAACTGCGTCTCTTTAATATAGGGATCACTTGATACTTAATACGTGACATTTGATAATGATGTCTTTACGAAATCCCTGAAGGATTCAATAAGGGACATGATCCTTTTGTCGAGAAATTAATTCAAAAGACTTGTGCAAGTTCTAGTGTCTTCAGGTGTCTAGATTAATATTTAGGTTCATAGTTTTGAATATAATAGATATAATTGTTTATGCACTTGTTTATATATTTAGAGATATCATGCTTGTCTATCATGTGATTGTCTGTGATTTTTTTTGAGCTTATATGATCATATTTGCATGATAAACTATTGAGATGTTTTTCAATTTGGTTAGTAACAAACTCTTGTAGAGTTTCAAAATCCTGAATATTATCGAAACTTATCACGAAGTTTGAATAGTCTGAATATAAATAAAACTCCGGAAAAGTTATATCATAGTTATGAACACTTCTAAGAAAGTTTAAAAGGTTGCTACTAGTCTGAAGCAAGGATAATGAAAGATCCATAGTAGAATCTCAGTGTAAATAGTTTGATCATTGTATATTCAACACCCGTTGAGCACACTTGGTTAAAATCTTGATGTGCATATAGATCTTTCTATTAATGATATAGACCGATTTGGTCCTGAAGTACCATATAAAGTTTCGGTTTATCTAATCAATTAGTCAAGACTTGGATGTTGTATATTGATACCTTTAAGGTATGATGGTCATGCATCTCTATTATTATAAAACACTCAAAATTATACAAGTATATGAAGACGACCATCTACATGAGAAGTCGAAGTTGACTTAAACAATCATGAACATGGTCAATAGCTTGGCATGCAACGAGAAGATTACAAGTGGCGTACTTAACAGGGGTAGTAACCCACGTTGAACTCCTTTTCCCTTGATTGAGGTTTTGTCCCAATGGGTTTTCATGACAATTTTTTAACGATGCACCGTCACATTCGGAAGTGTACTCTTTTTCCTTAACTAGAGTTTTATCCCAAAGGATTTTTCCTAGTAATGTTTAACGAGGCATTATTCCGCAACGATGGAAATTCAAAGGGGGAGTGTTATGGAAAAATCTGATTTGATTGAATGTCCTCATTAATATGAATTATTCTATTCACAATTAAGGAGATATGATTCTGTAATATTTAACATTAGTGATAGGTGATTCATTCCCCATAGTTTGATCCCCACTTTTTGTATAAATAGAGAGCTCATTCATGCTTCAAAATATATCTGAATTCAAGTTTTTTATCTCTCTCTACTCTCTTGTCTCTCCTCTTTGTTCTTATGCTTAGTTTCAGATAAGTAATCTAGCATTAATTTTATAACAAGAACAAATTTTTTATTTATTTTTTAAAAAAACTTTTGGTACTGCCCGATGCCCGTAATCCAATTTGGTAAAAGTTGGGAACATTTTCATAAACTAATTTACTGTCTAAATGTTTGGACACATTTTGTTTTATTTTGCTTTGAGATAGAATAATTAAGGGAAAAAACTTTACGGATACAAAACTGATAAAGGATTTTCTATACTATTTTTTGTGCAACGGTTCCTATGTTACATTTAAAAATAAAAAAATTGAAACATTAATTTTTATTAACATTTATTTCATTAATAATTGACAAGGAGTTTTTTTGGAGTTAGAGTCTATTTATTTTAGGATTTTGAATATAAAAATAAAAAAAAATGTGTATAGTCCTAACAAAAAATAAAGAGTAATGGAAAAATAAAGAAATGTTAGTAAAACCGACCAGAATGGAAGTAATTTTTCATGATGTAAACATCAAAATAAAATTATAAAACTTATAAAGAGAAATCAAAATATGGAGGAATAAAAATGGTATAAAAAATTTGTACAAGAGATCTTTAGCTTTGTGAATGAACCTACGCAATGATGTTTTAACATAGGAAATTTATCTTAAATTTTAGAGCATTTTTTTTAAAAAAATATGATATTAGAAGTCACTTGCAAACTGATTGAAGTTAGTAGACAAAATATCCATGAATTACATAATCAGTATATAATAGAATGCGATGTAACAGTGTAGGCATCGTTTTTTCTTAATATAATGACATGTACCTTTATTTAAAACAAATACAGAATAGGAAATTTATCTTAAATTTAGAGCATTGAAAAAAGTGAAAATGGGAAATTTGTTGTCTACGTGATGGCTTTTCTTTCTCCCCTGAATAAGTAACCCTTTGATCTTCACGAAAGTAAATTGAGAATTATAAAAACTGACAGAGGAAAACAATGTTCATTCCTCTGGGCTTTTTCCCAAAAAAAATTAAATAAAATAAACGTGGACAAAATTAAATTTTTCATAATATCTGTGGACAGAAATATATTGCTCGGATTTCTGAAATCCGAGTGTTGATTAATATTAGAGATTCGGATTTTGTAAATCCGAATCCATACTTAATAATAAAATAATAATTTCATAAATTTTGTTGAATAATAGTTTTTTTAGTTCTTTAGTGAACAGTAAAGCTCGGATTTGTAGAATCCGAGTTTAGTTAAAAATTAATAAATCGCGGCGCGAAATTTTTGAACCCAAAAAACCGGAAGTCCGTAATCCGGTTTGACGAATTCGGATTTTAGAAATCCGGATGCCTTTAATTTTGGTTGGTGGAAGTAGGCATGTGCCTTAAATTGGAGGACCAACAAATTAATAAAATAATCCTGAATTGACTAACTCGAATTTATGAAATCCGAATCTAACACAGTTCGGATTTCGAAAATCCGAGTTACTTACGGACTCGGATTTCGTAAATCCGAGTTTAACGTGCTATAAAAGGAAAAAAATTTCAGGCAGTTCTCATTCGAGAACTGAGTTGGATTTTCTGTTTTTGCAGCTCAAACAAGGGCGAATTGAAGTTTTTGATGCATTTTTGCCTCTAGATACGTGGAAATCGTTATTTGAAAGAGGTTAGATTGCAAAACCATGTTATTTAGTTTATTTTTGTGTTATTTTGATTGTTAGAATGATGTATGATAGATTAGGGTTTATGTTGGTTGGTTGTTTGGATGTTTTAGGTGTTGATTTTGAGGTTAGAGATGAGAAATCATAGTTGTTCATGAGATATCGAAGTTGATTTATAAGTATTTTAGTATGGTGTATTTGTTGGAGTATGTATGGTGTATGGTGTATGGTGTATTTTAGAGAATGTATGGTGTATTTTGTTGATTTTGTTATTAAGAAATGATTAGTTATTGATGTTTTTTTTTAACAGTTATCAATGGCACGTAATGTATCATACATGCTTAATTTGTATCATACAAGTAAGTATGTGATAGAGAACGGTAGCATCAACACTTTTTCGAATATGCCGGATGATGGTTTGTTTGTCGAAGAAAGGTTGTCATATGAGGGATTGATTAGTAAGATTTGTATGACCCTTGGTTGGGATCCAGCACACGTGAAACTCCACCTTTCTTTGATTTTCGATAGTCCCGGTGGTAGGCGTGTAGTGAAAATCAAGAATGATTCGCATGTAGAGTTCATGAACCGTGTAGATCCAATGTCATGTTTGGATTTATACATAGATTTGGAAGATATCACTCAAGAAGAAAGAGAAGCGAGTTTGGAAAACATGTCATTTGGTGATTTTCGAAGGGGAGAACGTGCTAGTACTTCTCGAAACCGTGATGAAGAGGAGACACCTTTATTTGCACAAAATGACTACCGGGAAGAGTTGGATTCCGACTACATAGCTCCAAGTGAAAGCGAAGAAGACTATGATGTCTCCGGAGAGAGTGATTTTGAAGAAAGTGATGATGAAAGGTTGGAAAATGAGGAAAGGGATTGTAATCTATTCGCCCGACGCCATGTATATAGTAAGATGGGGAACTGGGATGCCTCATGTGTAGACAAGGATGAGTTTGCTCTTAAGATGTGGGATGAGACGCCCGAAGGAATGGACATTGGTGTTTGTTTCAAATCTCAATCAGAAGCAAAGCATGCTGTGAAATTATGGAATATCCATCATAAAAGGGAATATACGGTCGCCGCGAGTAGTCCAAGGACATGGGCTGTGCGGTGCAGAACATTTAATGTGGAAAGTGAGGATGGTGAACCACCATGTGAGTGGAAGATGCGTGTGTCATTGAAAGCTCACGGCCTTCATGAAATTGTGAGATGGCATGATGCACATAATTGCATGACTCCTGTGAATGATAATGACAATCGGTGTGTGGACGCGTCTTTGATTGCTAGACTCATCAGGAGAAAGGTTGAGGACAACGTAGATTATACGGTAGCCTCGGCACAGAAAGATGTGAAGACCTTATTGAAAGTAGATGTGCCATACAAAAGGGCGTGGCACGGGAGGAGGAAAGCCATAGAAGCGGTTTATGGTGATTGGACCTCCAATTTCGAAGAACTTCCACGGTAAATATCAACTTTTATCCGTGTATTGAAATATTTATAGTATTTTTATTTTTACATGTATTGAAATATTTTAACAATGACTTGTTGTTGTTTAGGTATATCGCTGCACTTAAGTTTACTAATCCTGAGACTGTAGTAGAGTGGGAATGGAAGGAGGGACAAGAAGGTTGGAACAGGGGAAACCGGACATTTAAATTCGTCTTCTGGTCATTTGCACCGGTGGCTGAGACGTTTTTTGAATGTCCACCGGTCATTTGTATCGATGGAACCTTTTTGCGTGGTGGATACAAGGGTAAATTGCTTGTTGCGGTGGTGTATACCGCAAACAAGCACATTTTACCGGTTGCATTTGCGATTGTTGATGAGGAGACAGAGAGAGTTGGACATTTTTATGAGGAATTTGAGGTTGTGGGTTGTGTATGATAGAATCGTAAGTGTGATATCCGACCGGAATGCAGGGTTGTTGAGCGCAATGTCACAGATGGATGAATGGCGTGATTTAGGTGATGGTGGGCACTTTCTTTGCCTCCGCCACGTTCGCAGCAATCTTGTGTCGCGATATAATAGCAAAGAGGTGAAGCGGTTATGTTGGAAGATGGGCACGACACTTTCAAGAGTGAAATACAACCGTATGAGGGCAGAGCTTATTGAATTCAAACCTGCTGCATGGGAGTATCTTCGAGGGATTGGGGGGAGTAACTGGGCTCGATTGAAAGCCGGTCTTCGCCGTTGGGGCATAGCGACAACCAACATTTCTGAGAGTTACAACAATGCGTTGAAAGGGATCCGTTTTTTACCAATTAGAGCCTTGATCGATGCAACCTTTCGCAAAACTGTTAAATTCTATAGAGAAGAACAATTGTCTGCGAGAAATTGCATGACACCGATCCCTCCTGAGTTATGGAAAAAATACGAGAAAATGAATGATAAAGCAGCCAGTTTTGAAGCCACCCCTTTCGATGGTGATGATGCTATGTGGCGTGTTGTTACTGCCACACGCCTAAGTGGCAGGGGTGGGTCTCTGCATACGGTGAACTACGATGAACATAGGTGTTTGTGCAGGAAGTGGCAAGAGTACCGGATGCCTTGTACGCATGCACTCCAAGTTTGTCGGAGAAAAGGGAATCGGCCTATTGATCTATACCATAGTGTGTGGCGCCTTCCAACGTGGCGCAGACAATTTCATTACACGGGCTTTGTTCCGGTTCCCGATGAGGAACAATGGCCGATGGTCAATTGGAACATCATTCGAATTATGAGCGTCTTGTGTTGCATGCGGGACCGGACGAAGACAAAAAGGAGACATAGAATGCAAATGGATTACAGGGGACGCCGGAGCCGGGGGGAATGTTGGAGATGTGGACAACTAGGTCATGATGCCAATTCATGTCCGTTCTCGCACCCAGGAGTAGATAGAAGACCTGTGAATGACAGCTGGAATTGAGTGTAATTTACTGTTCTTGCAAGTTATTTTGTGTTTGATAAATTTATGTGAACATTGATAAATTCGGATTGTAATGTGAACATTGAATTTTTCGGATTGTAAAGTGTGATGAAATATGTACATTAAGACATTAAGATACCGGACATTAAGACATTCCGCCTCAAGGGCCGTAGGTACGACAGCGATTTTTGGGCGTTATATAAAAATACGGCCCCGGAGGTTAAGGAAGTCATTAGGAGAGCCGGTTTTGAGGGGATCATGAAGGTAGGGTACAAAAGAGTTGATCTAGGCCTCATTACCGCGTTGGTGGAACAGTGGAGGCCAGAAACCCACACTTTCCATTTTAATTTCGGAGAGGCGACGGTGACGCTACAGGACGTCGAGGTCCTGTTTGGTATTCGGGTGGATGGTGACCCGGTGTACGGCACGACAGTTAGCCGGACTGCAGATGAATGGAGGGATCGATGTGAGGCTTATTTGCGATTCCGGCCGGCGATTGTAAATGGCCAATGTGTCAATGTTGGTATTTTCGAAGATGAGATGGGCCGTGCACTACCTTCAAATTCCACTGTCCATCGATTCGAGCAAAGGGTCAGGACACTTATACTGCATTTTATTAGCAGTTTCATATTTCCGAACAAGACGCAGAACACTGTCAATCTACAGTTCTTGGCCCAGGTTGAGGATTTGGATCAGTGTAGCCGATACAGTTGGGGATCGGCACTGCTGGCTGGGTTGTACTCTGGCCTATGTGAGGCATCACAGTATACCATGCACGACGCCACTGGGTGTCTATATTTGCTACAGGTACGTATTAGTTTTCATATTGTGCTTTAATTATTTTGCGCTTTCGACGTTATAATTTGAAGTTTCTACATTATTATTGCAATTTACTAGGTATGGGCGTATGAGCGGATCGAGAGGATCGCGCCCCAAAGAAAAGGAGTAGATTATTTGCTTGATGAGACCGCTCCATTAGCTCAGCGGTACGTATTTTCAGTTCAAAATAACTCAACGTTAATTCTATTTGTTTCTTATTCATTTATTTCACTAATTCAAATGTACCCCTTTGTTTATTAAGGTGGGAATGTAGGTACACGTACGGCGACGCCCCAAGGAGCAGCACTCCACCGTTTAGAGATCAATTAACAAGTCTGCGTGTTGAAGATGTAAGTACTTGTAATTTGGTATTTATATTTACTTTGAGATCAATTACCCCTTTCTTTTGGTTTCGGTTGTACCATCTAATGAAATTTTTTTCGTGCAGTTTCGGTGGCAACCATATGCACATGTCCTCCATAGACTCCCTGATTTCTGTACACAAGGCCAAGCCATTTGGACGACTAGGTGTTGGATGTTCTGTTGGGCTATTAGGGAACCCCACGAGTCGGGCAGAGTCGTAAGACAATTTGGATACATACAGGATGTTCCCAAGCACCCCATGATTAAAGATAACGCAGCATTTCTTCTCGATCACGCCCACAGTATGTCTGGGTATCCTAGCAATAATTGGGAGGATCACCATTCCGCAGTACGCCGTCATTGGAATAGGAGAGAAGAGTTCGTGCTACGAGATTTGGAGGAAGGAGATCCTGGTTCCGTATATGAGGGGTACTATGAATGGTTTATGGTGAACACTGTCAGATTGATATCCAATCCCGGTAATTATGAACCTCAAGGATACGAGACTTCTTCGAGCCGCGTGAAATTATATGTGAGTTAATTGTAGATTTCTTTTATTATTTCTTATGTTTCCATTTTTTTTTCATTTTTTTAGAACTTTACTCTCTTAATTAACGTCCCAATTTCTTTTCAGGGTGAAGTATTGAACAACATTCGCGTGAGTACCGAGAGGTTTAGAGAAAACGAGAAGATGATAATCTCCTAGACGAAGAACTTGACAAGCATTTGGACGATATCATCAATCAAACACATGCTGCTTTAACCTTGGGCGCAAATGATGAGATGGAGGTGGATGATACCCAAATGCTGGTTGATGAAGATCCATTTTTTCCCTCACAACCTCCGCCGGGTAAAAAAGCGAAACCGTGGTCAAGAGATAAGATTGGAGGAGGAAGAAAGAGAAAGGTCACAATCCCCCCTCGGACATCGCAACAACAAACTGAGGGTCAACAAAATGAGGATCAAGCACATTCCTCTCGAGGCTCGCGCATCCAGGTCGAGACTCATTTTGAAGAAGCTGGTGGACTCGAGACTCGCTTTGACATTGGTGGACCCGAGACTCGGTTTGACATTGGTGGACTGAGACTCGGTTTGGTGGACGATCGCAACCACAACCGGGAGTCAAATTTATCACCATGGGGAGTCCCAATCTCAACCCCAAATCGAGGCTCGGTTTGGTGGACAGTGCAACCACACCAAAGTTCAATACTCACATATCTTAAGAGGGGAGACAGGATCCGACAGGCCCAAACAAATACACTCCGGATGCGCACAATAAAGGAAAAGGGAAAAATGAGACATTTCATTATTTTGGACATTTATTGTAGTTTTTGTATTGAACTTTTTATGAAACTTGATTTATTTTGTTGTTAATTGAATGCCGTTTATTGTTTTGTTGTTATTAAATTCCTATTTTCCAATGTTTCATTGTTGTTGGTGTCAGAACATGTTTAGGACTGGTGAAAATCAGTCCAATTTTTTTCGTTCGACAAAGACTCGGATTTGCGAAATCCGAACCTGGACTTTTCTAAAGGATTCGGATTTCGAAATCCGAGTCCGTACAACCGGGAGTCACCATTTTTCAGAAAATGAGCAGATTCGGATTTCGTAATCCGAGTTCGCCCGAATTTAATTTTTCAACACATTTTTTTTATAGTATCCGGAAATTAATATTTTATTCATAAAATCGGATTTATAAAATCCGGATTTAGATTAATTACACTAATTTTTTTCATTAACTTAATTTCAGATTTACGTAATATAAAGTCGGATTTTAATAATCCGAGTTTAGTTGGGGTCGGATTTCTGAAATCCGAGTTTTCCCCCCATTCGGATTTCCTAAATCCGGGGCATATAAATTTGTCCACAAGGTTTTAAAAAGCTTTATTTTTGTCTAGGTTTTTTTTTTTACATATATTTAAGGAAAAAATTCTCATTCCTCTAAGCTTAACTCAGGGGAAAATTAAAAAAAAAAGTTGAGGTATAGTTTTTCTTCACTTAAGCTACTCAAAAACTCCTTGAAATGATCTATCTAGAAATTTATACACCCGAACAAAATACATAGTACCATAGTTTATAAGTCCATCTTATAAAAAAAAAATTATATAAAATATAAAAATTTGGAGGAAATTGTAATAACTAATAACTGCTCCTCACTTGCCTTTGGCGTCCGATTCAAATCCTTCTTGACTAAATTAAAAACAAGAAAGATTTCTTTATTCATACACTTTGACAGTTTGACTTTGTAGTCTAAAAACCCATCAAATACTCTAGCAAGACTATTAAGATATCTCCAACACCAACAAATCATCGTCCAAGTAATCCGTATAGGCATCTTTTCCAAAGGATTCAGAACATTGCTCGGCTGATTTCTTCATCTTCTTCACGAAATGCTATCAGCTTTTAAGAAAATTCTGTTCTTTTTGATGATTGGAATGTGATTTCAATGTATTACTCTGGGGCCTGACAAAAAATTCAGACTTTGAGAAACCGATCCAGCGTTCTCAAGCATTTGGGCTGACATTGCCATTCTGTGTTAACATCGGTTGTGCTGGGCCAACCCTCAATTGAGCCCAGCATGATTTAAAGCCAAAATTTATGTTGGATTTGGTTTGGTTTAGTTTGGCCGAATAAAAGGAAAACCAATTGAATTTGGTTTTTTGGTTTGATTGCTTATAAAAGCAATGTAGCCGTGACTTTTTGGCCTTGAATTTGACAAGCAAATTTGGGGCAGCCGCACATTATTTTTGTGCGAGAGAAAAGAGAAGAGAAAAGTTAGTTCTGGGGTTTCTTGGTGTTGCGAGAAGAAAGTGTTTCACTGTAAGACTTTAATCGGGTAAGAAACGGGGTCAGTTATTGGTGCAAGTTTGCATGTGTGTTCCTCTTAACAAGATCTACAAATCCTCCGGTTTAGTTTTCAGTTTAGCTCTCTTTTGGTAAGATCCTTCTAATTCTACTTTGTGGTTTAGGTGTGTGTGGAAGAGTATTGTTGTAATCCACCTTTGGGTGAAGTCCTGTGTATCCACCAATTGGTGAAGATTATTCTCCATTATTGTGATAGTAGAGATTTGACTGTTGTTATAGTCCCGTGGTTTTTTCCAATTTAGATTTTCACATAAATTCGTGTGCCTCCTTTATTTTATCAGTTCTTGAATTATTTTAATTGTTTGGTTGTCCTATTTTATTGGTAGTAGGAAAGGAGTTTTTTCTTGGGAATCGTTTCTGCTGGTTTGTTGTGTTTATACCCTTTCCGCCACAATAGTGGGATCAGAGGTACGATTCATAGTTGAGGTGTTATACCAATAAAATGGAAGAGTCATCGGGTTCTGGTACGATGATTAAATTGACTTCATCCAATTATCATATGTGGAAGCCTAGAATGGAAGATTTGTTGTATTGCAAAAATTTGTTTGATCCTATTCTAGGGGATGAAGGTAGGCCAAGTGATATGACTAATACAAAGTGGGCTGATATGCACAAGAAAACTGTTAGAAATATTCGACAGTGGATTGATCAAAATGTGTTTCATCACTTCTTGGGAGAAACAAAAGCTGATGAACTTTGGAAGAAAATCCAGAATAGGTACTGGAAGAAGTCCGGCATCAATAAGTCATCTGTGCTGAAACAGATTATCAGGTTGAGGTACAAAGATGGTGCTAGCATGAATGAGCACTTGAGTTCATTTCAGTGTTTGTTGAACCAGGCAGTGAATGTAGGTTTAAAGTTGGATGATAAGGTGAAGGCTTTGTTATTTTTTAGTTCTCTTCTAGACAGTTATGACACTTTGGTAGTGTCAATCAGTAATTCAACCCAGGATAGTATCTTGACCTTGGATCAGGTCAAAGAGGCTTTGATAAATGAAGAAGTCGGAAGAAAAAAGCAGAGTATTGAGTCTGAGTCGCAGGCTCTGGTGACAGAAAAGTCAGATAGAAGAGGGAGAAGTGAAAGTAGAGGGCCACGTGATCGGAATGACAAGTTCAGAGGATGGTCTAAATCCAAGAAAGATGTCATGTGCTACCATTGTCAAGGGAATGGGCACTTTAAGAGGGAGTGATGGGTTCTCAAGAGAGAACTAGCAGAGAAAAAGTAAAGGCAAGAAGGATGAATCAAGTGATGATGACACTACTACAGTAGTAACTTCCAGTGATGTATTCGTGTACTGTGATGATGATACAATTAATGTTGCGAGTCACGACAGTGATTGGTTTGGTAATTCAGGTGCGTCTTATCATGTGACAGCTCACAGACACTTCTTTACCTCTTACACACCTGGAAATTTTGGTCTTGTAAGAATGGGCAATCAAGCCTCATGCGATGTTGTCGGCATGGAAGAGGTATCATTGGTAACGAATACAGGTTGTACTTTTGTCTTGAAAAATGTTAGACATGTTCTGGATATGCGTCTGAACCTTATTTCCGTTGGAAAACTTGATGATGAGGGTTATCATAGCACTGAAGGTGGTGGCCGTTGGACAATTACCAGATGGAATCTTGTTATTGTTAGAGGAAAGAAGTTGAACTCTTTGTATGTGTTGAATGCAAAGTTGAAGAATGGAGAGGTGAATGCAACTCACAATACCTCCATTGATATTTGGCACAGAAGGCTTACACATTAGTGTCAAGGGGCTCCAGATTCTTGGTAAGAAGCAATTTCTCCCTGAGGTGAAAGGTACTGCTCTAGAACCTTGTGTTGACTGTATCTATGGTAAACATCTTAGGGTTTCCTTTCAAAATTCTCCTCCATCTAGAAAGTCCAGTCCTCTAGAGTTAGTTCATACAGATGTATGTTACATGAAAGATAGGTCGTTGGGTGGAGCATTGTACTTTGTTACTTTTATTGATGACTATGCTCGAAAGGTTTGTTGTTTTTCTTTGAAATCTAAAGATCAGGTATTAGATGTGTTCAAAGATTTTCACCTTAGAGTTGAACGAGAGACTGGCAAGAAGTTTAAGTGTGTTCGAGCAGATAATGGTGGTGAGTACAGGGGTCTGTTTGCGAAGTATTGCCGAGGCCATGGCATTAAACTTCAGAAGAGTGTTCTAAAGACTCTGCAACAGAATGGCGTGGCAGAAAGAATGAACAGAACTATTACCGATAAGGTTAGGTGTATGCTCTTGAATGCAAAGCTGCCTAAATCTTTTTGGGGTGAAGCCATGCAGATAGCAGTTGATTTGATCAACCTATCTCCCTCAGTTTCGTTGGATGGTGATCTACCACAACGAGTTTGGACAGGGGAAGATGTCTTATTTGGACATTTGCGAGTTTTTGGTTGTCGTGCCTTTGTTCATGATCCCAAAGAGGAAAGGTCGAAGCTTGATGGAAAATCCAAGCAGTGTATATTCTTGGGGTATGGCAATGATGATTTTGGTTACAGACTTTGGGATCCTGTAGAGAAGAAAGTTTTCAGAAACAGAGATGTGATCTTCTTTGAAGACTAGACCATTGATGATATGGGAAAGGGCGAGATGCCAGAATCTTCACCTAAGATTCCTGTTGATCTAGATCTAGTTCCTCCACAATCAGATGATTCTCTTGAAGGGGGAGCTAAGACAGAGCATAATGGTGAGTTTGATGATGATCCTAGTTCTGAAACAGAGATACCACCGGTTTCATCACCTCCTGTCCAGCCAAGGAGGTCCACCGGAGACAAGAAACCTTCCACCATGTACAGTGCTCATGAGCATTTGTTGCTTACTGATGGGGGA